CAGGACAGGGGGTGGGGAGGGGGGACTGGCGGCACAGAGCCCTAACCTCTGTCTCTCCCTTTGCAGTCTCCAGCCAAAAATGGCTCCAAGCCTGTCCACAGCAACCAGCACCCCCAGTCCCCAGCCGTGCCACCTACCTACCCCTCCGGCCCCCCACCTGCCACCGCTGCCTTGAGTACCGCCCCTGGCAACAACGGGGCCTCCAGCCCTGCAGCGCCGCCCAGTGCCCTGGGCCCCAAGGCCAGCCCAGCCCCCAGCCACAGCTCAGGCACCCCTGCCCCTTATGCTCAGGCCGTGGCTCCGCCCACTGCCAGTGGACCCAACACTGCCCAGCCCCGGCCCCCCAGCGCCCAGCCCAGTGGAGCAGGTGGTGGAGGCGGCGCTGGGAGTGGTGGTGGCAGCAATAGCAGCACAGGAGGCGGCTCTGGCAAGCAGAATGGCGCCACCAGTAAGTAGAGGCAGGATGGCATGGGGCTGGGGAGGGTGGGGGGAGCAGGGTGGGAGGCCCAGAACAGGGTGCACAGGACAGGAGCCGCAGGCTGCCTTTCTCATATGCTCTTCTTCCCCAGGTTACAGCTCAGTCGTGGCCGACAGCCCTGCGGAAGTGGCCCTCAGCAGCAGCGGGGGCAACAGCACTAGCGGCCAGGCCCTGGGGCCCCCAGCAGGCCCCCACAACCCACCTCCCAGCACCTCGTGAGTGTCACGTCTCACCAGGCAGGGCTGCCGGCAGCCGTCTTCCACCACAGACACACCTTCACTAGCCACAGAAAGGGCTGTTTACTGTGAGGTGACCCTAAGTCCTGCCCTCTGCTCCTCCATACACCAAGGCACCCCTAGTGCTGGACAGGAGGCCCTCCCACCCTGGCCCTGGCCTGGCCACCCTGCCCCGTCCTCTGTAGCCCTGCGGCCCGGGGTTCCCACCTCCATACGCTGCCTTGCTGAGTACAAAGCCCCAGAGACTAGTTGTCCCTTTTCCCAGAAGAGCCACTGCCGTGGCTGTGAACCCTCAGCCGCCCCTTGGGTCGCACCCACCCTCAAGGACGTCCATTCTCTTCCCAGCAAGGAGCCCAGTGCAGCAGCCCCCACAGGCACTGGGAGCGCCGCCCCAGGCTCAGGGAACACCTCAGGAGCACCCAGCCTCCTGGTGCCGCTGCCCGTGAACACCCCCGGCTCTCCCACACCCAGCTTCAGCGAGGCCAAGACAGCCGGCGCCCTGCTCAACGGCCCTCCGCAGTTCAGCACCACCCCGGAGGTCAAGGTGAGCTCCAATGCCCCAAGACACCCAAGGCCCTGTCTTAGCACTTCAGTCTTTGCTCCAGAGGCTTCCGCACCCTTTCTGCCACACCTCTTAACCACCTCCTTCCTCCCTTGAGCCAGGCTTCTCTGGCTTTCTGCTCCTTCTCTCCTTTCTCTTGCTCTTTCCCCATCACCGCTGCTGCCTTCACCTTCGTGCTGGCCGCACTGCCCTTGCTCTGCTGTCTGCAACCATCTGCATGGCCTGCCTTAGTTATTTCCCCTGGATGCGTCTTCATCTCTTCTGTGGCGCAGGTCTCGCCGCACTGTGTTCTACCAGGACACCTGCTCCGTCTCCTGTTTTCTTCTCTGCCACCGTCCTTGTCCTCATCCTCTCTAAGAAACCATTTCGACTGAGAACACATGTTCTGGTCAGCCCTCAGCCCAGCTTTGCTGTGTGGCCAGTGTTTTTGCCCTTAGAAGCTGGCTGCCTGGCCTCCAAGGGCTGCTCACCCCTGATCTGGAAGGGTCTTAGGGCAGGACTGGAGTTGTGGGAGGGTGCTGATCCAAACAGACAGGAGGCTGGTGGTGGTACTCGGCAGGACTGAGAGCAGTGTCCCCTGTGCACGGGGCCGTCTGCCCAGACTATCCAGATCCACGTTTCCTATGCCTGCCTGCCTTCTTCTGGAGACGGGGGATCATTGTAACACCCCTGCTGCACTGGGTCCTTTGCCAGACCCACCCTCAAGTCCCACGCGAGTCCCCACAGAGTGATTGGAAAGGCACTGAGGGCTGGAAATGGAGTGTATGAACCTTACTAGCAAATCTCAGTTGAGAGATCCAAAAAGAATCCAGTGTTAGAGCCTCTGGGTGGGCGGTGGGGAGCCTCTTCCAGGCTTTGAGCATGAGGGCTGGGGAACAAAATCACACCTCACTAGAAAAGTGGCTGCATGGAGTGGGAGGGGAGGGCTTGGCCTGGGTGCTCCTTGTGGCCAGGTGAGCACTGTGTCGGGTGGGGGCTCAGCCTGCAGGGCCCCAAGGAGTGTGTGAGGTCGGCTGTTGCCCCCGCTGGCAGCCCAGCATACAGTGTTCTTCCTACCCTGGCTCAAGTATGCCAGTCCTAGAGCTCAGACTTGGGACCTGGCTGCCGCCCTAGGCTTTTGTGCTTTGTGCTCAAGGCTGGTGCACAGCCCACTTAGGTGCTGGTTTCCAGTGCTGGGGTGTGCAGTACCCACGGCTGGCTCGCAAGCAGAGCCCCTGTGCACGCGTCCTCGGAGGGAGGCTCCATGGCCGCGGGGCTTTGGTGTCGGGACATCGTGAATAGGAAGAGCAGGCAGGAGTCCAGGGCCCTGCAGAGGAGCCCAGTGTGAGCCTGAGGCCCGGGCCTGTCCTCCCCGCAGGCCCCTGAACCTCTGAGTTCCCTCAAGTCCATGGCGGAAAGGGCAGCCATCAGTTCTGGTATTGAGGACCCAGTGCCCACGTTACACCTGACTGAGCGAGGTGAGCGTCCAGGGTTGGTGTGGGGGGTTCTGCTGGAGAGGTGGGGCTGGTCCCTATCCCACTCTCATCCTCGAGGGGCCCTGCCCCACTCCCCCCCACAGACATCATCCTGAGCAGCACGGCCGCGCCGCCCACCTCCGCCCAGCCTCCCCTGCAGCTGTCCGAGGTGAACATCCCGCTGTCCTTGGGTGTGTGCCCCCTGGGGCCCGTGCCCCTCACCAAGGAGCAGCTCTACCAGCAGGCCATGGAGGAGGCCGCCTGGCACCACATGCCCCACCCCTCTGACTCTGAGCGCATCCGGTGAGCGAGCCCGGGACAGGGTGAGGGCTCCTTGCAGGGGGCCACCTTCGGCATTCTCCCAGCCCAGCCCAGACAAGAGCCAGAGGACACCGGACACCAACCCTCCCCTGTTCACAGGCAGTACCTCCCCCGGAACCCCTGCCCGACGCCCCCCTACCACCACCAGATGCCACCCCCCCACTCGGACACGGTGGAGTTCTACCAGCGCCTGTCAACCGAGACGCTCTTCTTCATCTTCTACTATCTGGAGGTACAGCAGGGCCCCCGGGGCAGCCTCAGGCCCCCCGGCTCCGCCGCCACCGCCGCCGTTCCCCCTCGGGCTGAAGGGGTGAGGTGGGTGTCCCACGGCGGCCTCTGGGACCGCACTCTTCCCTCTCCCAGCCCTGGGCCCCTGCTCCATTCTGCCCAGGGGTGTCCACTGTTCCGCTGAGGCTGGCCTCTACTGCAGCCCCGTCCATGGCCCTGGGCCCCGGCTAAACCCAGGAAGGCCCTTTAGTCCAGGATGTCCCCCTGCTCTGCGGTGGACACTCAGGCCTTCCAAAAGACTGGGGGAACCCTACCCCTCTTTGATAAGCATCCTAAACTATCTCCTCTCCACTCGCTGAGCTCTCGTCATGCGTTAGCTTCTCCTCCTTCTTGAAAGCAATTTGCCTCCTTCGGTCTCATTTTCTTCTGGCCAGCAGTGGGACGTTCCACCCCCAGCACGATCTCCACACGGATCGTCCTGCCAAACATTGGTCTGGAGCCGGGGCCCAGCCCTGCTGCTCTGCCCATCCCTGTCCCCCAGCCCTACTCAGCTTGGGCCCCCCTGATCCCACCCTCTCTCTCTACCACAGGGAACCAAGGCGCAGTACCTGGCAGCCAAGGCCCTGAAGAAGCAGTCGTGGCGATTCCACACCAAGTACATGATGTGGTTCCAGAGGCACGAGGAGCCCAAGACCATCACCGACGAGTTTGAGCAGGTGAGGCCTGCCATCTACCCTTCCTCTCCCTGTCCTCACCCGCATCAGTCCAGCTGCCCTGGGCTTGCCCTGCCCCTTCCCGCTCCCATTTCCTGACCCCCAGAGTGCAGGGCCGTTACTTACTGGAACTTCTGCCCCTAGCCCAATGCCACTGCCCTGGGCTGCTTCTGTGTTTGTTTGTGAAGCGGGTCATGAGTTGTAAGGATTAAATGAGTTTATAACATGTGAAGATCAGTGCCACATACAGCAAGTGTCACAGAGGTGGTGTGTCATGGGCTCGGGTACCAAGCCCCCTCGGTGCCAGTCCCTCTCACACCTGGTGTGGGCTTCCTGTGTGTGGGTCTGGGCCTCCGGTTAGTGTATCACCTCAGGACACCCCATCCAGAAAGCCGTATGCCGCCCTTGAGCCTAGACACAGAGCCAGGGCCCCCAAGAGCAGCCGGCCAGGGCCAGGCACCCCAGAGCCACAGTCCCCGTTCCACTCCCTAACATGAGCATGAGAAGTGGGGGAAATGAGCCCCATACATCCAGTTGGCCTGGCACCTCTGCACCACACCCTGTCCTATGTCTGTCAGTCTGGCCCCAGACCCCAGCCTGCCTTCGCCTCCACTCACTGCACGCTTTCTCCCCGGCCAGGGCACCTACATCTACTTCGACTATGAGAAGTGGGGCCAGCGGAAGAAGGAAGGCTTTACCTTCGAGTACCGCTACCTGGAGGACAGGGACCTCCAGTGACACCGGCCCCGTCCCGCCCTTCCCGCATGCTGATCCCCTCCCCTGCCCAGGTGAGGGCCCGGCCCTGAAGATGGGGCCCGAGCCACGGGGCACCCCCTCCCCCAGGAAGCAGGGAGGGGGCCGGGAGGTTTTCTCTTCCTCTCAGCCCCACCCTGGGGGCCCGGGGGCGAGGGCTGCCCCCTCCTCTCCCCAGTGAGGGACATTTTTTGGTAAACCTATTTTCATTTTGGAAAATATTTATGAATAAATAGTTTTATATGACGGCTGGTGGTAGCAACCTCTCTTGTATCCTACCCCATTCCCCCCAGAAGTTAGCGAGCAAGAGGGGGGTCCTGCCGGCGGGGCCGCCTGGCCAGCTGGGGGTTGAACTGGGAATTGTACCGCCGGCGTCGGTCATCCGTCTCTTCCTCCTCGGGCTCACCTTGGGATGCCCGGCCTTGAACCCGCGCCAGCAGGGCCTCAGCCCGCACTCTCTCGGCTGCTTCCCTCCGAAGACGCTCAGCCCGAAGCTGATCCAGGGTTGGGGGCCTGGAAAAGGGGGAGCAAGGTCAAAACACTGCACAGCACGGCCCTGGGGTCCTACCCTGTGCATCTCCTGCTCGTCAGCTGACCCCTGAAGCCCTGGTCCACACCCTGCTCCTAAGCTTGCTAGAAGCAAGCCGTGGGTGAGCCCTGGGTAAGGCCCGCCTGCCCTCCCAGTGGGAAAAGCACATGGCACACAGTGATAAGCGAATCCTCTATATGGGCCTGGCATCCCAGGAACCTAAACCCTGGTTGTTATCTAACCCAGTGGTCTTCATTCTTCAAACTTGAGAATTTCAGAGGCCTTTTTACATGAGGGTTGTAACTATTCACATTGTGAGTTAGAAACAAGTCCCAAAGCCACAGGCGTGTGTGTCATTGCTGGGATCCTCTAGGAGTTCTCTGGGGACCACAATGCTGAGCATCCTGCTCTGACGGCCAGCCTGTGATGCCCCTTGGCGGCTGACCCTGGAATCAGCCTGCTTTGCTCTGGACTGTGTCTCCATTCTTACTCTTTGGGGCGCTGCTTCTCCCTGGCAGGATGGCTTTCTTCCATGCTGTGCTTCTTCTTCTTTCCCAGATGCTTTTGCATCTCCCGCAAGGGGTCTAGACGGCTCTTGATCTTCTCATCTGGGGCTGGGCCAGGCGGGGGACCCCCTCGCCCTGGGGGGAGTTGGTACCAAGGGGGTTGAGTCTGGGCCTCTGCTGCACTCTGACCCAAGTATGTCAGGATGCCCAGTGCTTTCTCTTGCCTCTCCTGAGGGGGTAAGAAAACAAGAGCTGAGGCAATAAGACACAGCCTTCCTTTGTCCCTCATGAGCTCTGGTGGTGGCAACGGGAAAACGCCCAGACCTAGGTTGGTTACTCAACAGTTGAGAATCAGAGGCCAGTCCTGAGCCAGCTGTCCCAGCTCTTGGTGAAGCACAGCACAGCAGCTGAACTCTGGCCCTGGGAAGAGGGGACTGGAGCTGGCACCCGGCTCTAATCACATTTTAAAAAGAAACACCAGGCTGGGCACCAGTGGCTCATACCTGTAATCCTAGCTACTCAGGAGGCTGAGATCTGAGGATAGCAGTTCAAAGCCAGCCTGGGCAGGAAAGTCCGTGAGACTCTAATCTCCAGTAAACCACTAGAAAACCGGAAGTGGCACTTGCCTTGAGCTGAAGAATGCAGGGACAGCGCCCAAGCCCAGAGTTCAAGCCCTATGACTGACCAAAAAAAAAAAAAAAACAGCCAAGCACCAGCGGCTCACACCTGTTAACCTGGCCACTCAGGAAGCTGGGATCTGAGGATCACAGTTCAAAGGCAGCCTGGGCAGGAAAATCAGTGAGACTCTTATCTCTAATAAACCACTCAGAAAAAGCCAGAAGTGGTGCTGTGGCTCAAGTGGTAAAGCACTAGCCTTGAGCACAAGCAGGCTCAGGGACAGTCCAAGCTCTTAGTTCAAGCCCCAGGACCGGCAAAACAAAAACACACCAGGCACGGTGGTGCACCTACAACACTTGGGAGGCTGAGGCAGGCGAACTGCAAGCTGGAGGCCAGCCTGGGCTTTATGTCAATAAAATCCCTCTGGCATTCCTACAGGGTTCACCCCAACTAGGGCTGGGGTGTTCGGCATCCTCTAACCAGGCCTGTGGCTGCCCACAGCAATAACCCAACTTGCTGGGTGCTTCATCCAGTTGTGCGTCTTCTGTGTGAGCCCACCTACCCCACCCCCACAGCTGCCTTACACTCCTCCACCCCAGCCTAGGCACAGCATCCCCTCCCACCTCTGCCCAGGATGCCTGGAAACTAGGAATAGGTCTGTGACCGGGATTCCTGGACAGGAGGAAGAGGTGTGTGAGGCCAACTTACTTTCTCCTGTCGTTTTTCTTCCTCATACTCTTTATTGCCTCTGGTCACTCCTTTCCCTTCTTCCAGCAGGTCCCGGAACAGGTCCACAGGGCCAGAACTTTGAGCTCCTGCCTCTGCGGCTTCAAGTTCAGGCAAAGCGCAGTGACTCCTGGCTTTCTTCCGTAGGAATTCTGTGCGGGCCTGATGGGGAGGAAATTACAATCAGGGCACTGAGAACCTAGAGGGGACCTGAAGGTCTGTGAGTCTGGTGCCAACTCTAGAAAGCACGGCAGTCCACAGCGCTGGGGGGCTACAAGAAAGGGACCTTGGGGGGGCTGGGAAGGTGGCTCAGTGGTAGAGTGCTTGCCCTGGGCTCGATTCCTCAGCACCACATAAGCAAAAAGAAAAAAGCCGGAAGTGGCGCTGTGGCTCAAGTGGTAGAGCGCTCTCCTTGAGCTGAAGAGCTGAGGGACAGCGCCCAGGCCCAGAGTTCAGGCCCCATGACCAACCCCCCCCAAAAAAAAGAAAGAAAAAGAAAGGGACCTTGGGGTGCAGGGACCCAGAAAAACCATTGTCTCCATCCAGGATGGAAATGTAGGTTTCCTCATGTTCTGAATCACAGCATCCCCAAGCTAGGGTAAGGCTGTACAAAGAGCTATAGGACTGTGTGTATAGCTCAGTGACAGAGTCCTTGCTTAGCATGTGTAAGGCCCAGGGTTCATTCCCCAACAACACTTCCACCACCACCTCTTACCGCCCCCCCCCCGTGTGTATGCACGCGCACACGCACGCACACACACACACACACACACACAAAAGCAACCATCTGAAATCCAGGAGTGGCTCCAAGTCACTATTCCAAAACATCTAGGAATTCTTTTGTGTGTGCTGGTACTGATTCTTGAACTCAGGGCTTTGTGCTTTAACTGTGTTTTCACTCACTGACAGTGCCCAACTGAGCCACAACTGCAGTCCAGCTGTTTGGCTGGTTAACTGGAGATTAGTCATTGTCTGGCTTCAATGAGCAATTTTTTTTTTGGGGGGGGGTGTCTGTCGTGGGTCCTGAACTCTGGTCCTGGGCGCTGCCCCTCAGCTCTTCAGCTCAAAGTGAGCGCTCTACCACTTGAGCCACAGAGCCACTTCCAGCTTTTTCTGCTTATGTGGTGCTGAGGAATCGAACCCAGGGCCTCAGGCAGACGAGGCAAGTACTCTACCACTGAGCCAACTTCCCAGCCCTCCGTGAGCAGTTTTCTACTGACAATCGTTGAGTTTTAAAAGCCGGTGGCTCACACCTGCAATTGTAGCTACTTGGGAAGGGGAGAGTTGGAGGCTGGAAATTCAAAGCCAGTCCAGGAAAGAGAGTCCACAAGACTCCCATCTCCAACAAAAATGCCCGACTAGAGGCATGGCTCACTGGTTGTGAGTTACTGAGCGTTAACACGAAGCCCTGGATTCAAGCCCCGATGTTTGCACACTCATTCACTCATACACGGATACACAAGGAGTAAATGAGGACTGAAAGCTGGGCGTAACTTAAGCTTATTAAGGGGTTACACACAAAAGCTGGGAGATTGGGGTGTCTGGGGCAGGGTCGCCCCGAGAACAGAACTGGCTCATCCACTCTCCCTTCTCCGTGCTAGGAGATAACGGCCAGTGCACGGAGCGGCCGACACGGGGTGCGCACCACAAACGGGGCGCTTGTTCAGAAGTAAAGAATCACAGCTTTCCGGAAATAAAGCACTGGCACCCCGCCTACCGCGCCTGCGCAGCACCCGCTTCCGGTTCCCGCAGGCGCGGAGGGCGGCCCGGGTTCCGCCCGCCGCCCTTCCTGCTTGCCTCTTGCTGAGCGAGCAGCACTCTCCGCTCGCGCTCCTTCTCCTCCTCTCGGGCCTGGGCCTCGTCACGCCGCACGCGAGCGACATTGTCCTTATTTCGGACGTGCCAGCTTTTTTTGGGTAAGATATTCATGGCGCCGCAGCGATCGACGTCCTGTCAGACCCGCCTTCTTACAGTTCTTATAGGCACAGGAGCGGGGTGGGGAGGGGAGGGGAGGAGAGGCCCGCCCCTCTTCCTTTGGTCCTGTCTTGTGCACGGATTGGCCGTAGACTAGTTAGCCCCGCCCCTCTTATTTTGTAGCTGTATACGATTGGCTAGCATGTCCTTCATCGCAGCCAATCCCAGAAGCTCGACGTGTGTTGTTGCCTAGCGACCGCTCTCGCCAGCGTTTGAGTCAATCACGAGTAGCCCCGCCCCAGACGCTGTCAACGTAACCGCCAATTGGCTGGCACGCTCGTCGGGAGTTCTTGGGCGGGAGAGCCCTCGACCTAGACGTGCCAGTACGTTAGGTTGGCGTCGGGACGCGAGTTGCAAAGCGCTCAGCAGCCCTGGTTGTGTTTATTAATGTAATCAAGAGGTTCTACAGGGAGTCGGGACTTGGCGGCGGAGGCTCTGGGGAATCTTCAGAGTTAGGACTCAGGAGGGGGGCATCGTTTAACACAAGTCGGAGTTCGGGCTTATTACCAAGGGGTCTGGACCCGAAGGCGTCCGGGACGTCGTTACACAGGCCGCTCAAAGGGCCCCGTTGGCGGAGCTCAGTGCCACGGCTCGCTGTGCCAGAAAGACCTTGTTCCGTGCTTCCTGGGGTGACAAGAGATGAGGGTGAGACACGCCTCCTCTTCTCTTCCCGGGATCCAACTAGGAGGAGGAAGAGGAGGAGGAGCCCTTCCCTCCCCTTTTATCCCCTCCTTTTTCCCCCCTCCCCTTTCCCTGCACAGGCCTGACTCACCGTCTCTATCTGGCGTTTAAACTCCGAGATGAGGCGCCCATAGGAGTTGGCCAGCGCCACGGTACACGCCATCAGGATGCTGACGAAGACAGAGAAGCCCAGAAGACACACGGCTCGCTAGAAACTCGAGGCCCAGCCCTCAACCCCCCTCCAGCCCCTCCTCTCCGGAGCCCAGGGGCCGCAGCCCCTCCCTCCCACAGGTGACTGACCGACTCCCAGCTCACACACACTCAGTAGTCTGGTACACACACACACACACACCTCACCTGGAGAGCAGCAGAAGGGGCACAGCAAAAGCCTGGGAACCCAAAAAGAAAAGAAAGTTCTGGGCAGTCTGAGGGAGTTTTTCAATGGACTCAGGAATGTGTTCCCAGATGGACGACTTCCCCCGGAAGGGGCCGCACAGCTTGGAAGGTGGGATCCTGCGGGCAGAGACAGGATGGGCTCAGATAGGCTGGAATGGGAGTCCTGAACGAAGCAGGGAGGGGGAAAGAGGGAGGGAGGCCGGCCCAGGCTCTCACACTCACAGAAAGATGCTGTAAAATACGGTCACTGCGGAGATGGCCAGGCCCAAGAGCAGGACCAGGGGGAAAAACAGATTGGCCGTGGAGGTACGGAAGGTGCGGGAGGCCGGGGAGCAGGTGGAGAAGAGGGTGAGCTGGCAGGGAGTAATGTCGGGAAAAGGAGCTCTGAGACCCAGCCTGTCCCCCGGCCTGGCCTTTCAGCTTGTCCGGGAATCCGGATCCCCTGGGGTCTGAGGCCCCAGCGCTCAGACCTAGCACTCCTGCCCCACCACCCTGCTGCCCCCAGGACCCCAGCCCTCGCCAGCACCCCACGGGCTCACACTCTGTGGCCCCTCACCTTCTTCAGGCTGAAGAGCAGCAGGAATTTGGCGGTGTTGAGCAGAGGCAACAAAGGGCAGAAGAAGCTCCCCACCCAGACCACGGTCTGCGCGTACAGGAGGCCCAGTACCTCATCGGGCACCTGGAACTCCTGGATCCCCGCCAGGCGCCCCAGCGCCCCCGGACAGAGGCCGCAGAATACCCTGAGGGCCGGATGGGGTGGGGTGGGCTGAGAAGGGCTCCATCCAGCCCACCAAGCCAAAAGGAACAGGTAGAAGGGGTGGGGCTTTTAATATGTCCTGTAGTCTGGGTGTGAGGGGGCGGAGCCTGAGGGCCCAGAGGTCCCCAGGAGTCAGGGTCAGAGGTTACAATATAAGTCGAGTGACGGTGGGAGCCTGGGACCTAAGACCGGAGCCCAGGAATAAAAAGAGAGAACTAGGCTGTGGGGGCGGGGCCTTAACCATGGGGCGGGGCCGCGGAGGGGTGGAGCTCTCACTTCCTAGGAAATTGGATGAACAGCATGACTGCCAGGCCAGTCAACAAATCGAAGAGCAGGAGTTTGTACATCTCCTGACCCAGCTTAGTCTCCCAGCACTGATGAAGGGAAAAAATCCAGTCAGCGTGTCCCCTAGACCCCCGTACTCAGAGGCCTAAACATCCAAGGCTTCAGACCCATCCACAGGCTCCGGAGCCTTTTCTAGCACCCACTCTACGCCCAGCACCTTCAGCTGTATCTCAGGCTGCATCGCTCACCGGAAGCTCTTTGTAATTGTACCCACAGGGCTGGCACGCCTCTGCTTCCACGTTGCCCCCACAAGTGATCTGGTTCCAGAGGGAGATGAGCAGGAACAGAAGGGAGGTGAAGCGCAGAGTCACTGTCCTGTCCGGGGAGAGCAAGGGAGGGACTGGCAATGACCCAGAGCCCACTACAGACTAGTTCCCCTCTGTGTGGTGTTCCCCATGATTTTCATAGATTGAAGAAACTGAGGCTGGGAGCCGATGGCTCACGCCTGTCAGCCATTCAGGAGGCTGAGATCTGAGGGTCGCAGTTCAAAGCCAGCTGGGGCAGGAAAGCCCATAAGACTCTTATCTCCAATGAACCACTCAGAAAACTGGACTGGCGCCGTGGCTAAGTGATAGAGCACCAGCCTTGAGCTGAAGAGCTGAGGGACAGCACCCAAGCCCAGAGTTCAAGATCCAAGACCAACAGGAAAAAGAAAGAAAAGGAAGGAAGGAAGAATAAGGAAGGAAACAGAGGCTCAGTGTCACAGTCAGATTTGAATTCAGAACTCTAGATATTCCCATATCCAAGGGAGTGTGTGTGTGTGTGTGTGTGTGCGCGCATGCACGCGTGCGCTCGCGCATGCAGGTACTGGAGCTTGAACTCAGGGCCTGGGCACTATGCCTCAGCTCTTTTGCTTGAAGCTGATACTCTACCACTTGAACTACAGCTCTGCTGCTGGCTTTTTGGTAGTTAATTGCACATAAGAGTCTCATGAACTTTCCTGCCCAGGGCTGTGAGCCATGATCTTCAGTTTCTTGAGTAGCTAGGATGACAGGTGTGAGCCACAGGTGTGTGGCCAACTTCTCTGTCTTATTTTGCAAGAACAAACACCCTCCAATAGACCCCATCCCATCCTCCCAGGGGAGGAGCTGGAACCTGAGCAGGATGAGTATGATCTGACGGCTCTGGGTGTAGCCTTCCAGGGGGGCAATGAGCTTGAACACAGGCGGCAGCACGAAGTTGACCCCGGAGATGAAGATGGATGGGAGGTAATCCACCACCAGCTTCAGCAAGGGCGTCTGCTGAACAAGGGATCTCTCCTGGGAGAGAGGGTGGGTCCAAAAAAGTACCAGGCCTAAGGCCCTCCCCGGCCTCTCCCTCCCTTAGGATCCTCCCGCCCCCAGGTCCAACCTGGCTCTCTGAGCCTCCTGCCGCCCCAGCCCTCCGCCCACCGCACCCCGCGCACCTTCAACTCCGCAGTAGCCCCCGTGGCCCAGTAGACGCCATAGAAGGCTGCCCCCAGGAGCGCTAACACCAGCAGGTTGAGCAGCGTCCGCACTAACCATACCCAGGTCCACTGGCCAAGCGTGCGCCCCGCAGCCCGGCGCTGGACCGCGGCTTCCTCCAGCTCCACCTGAGGCCAGTAGAGATGTCCCTTGCCCTACGTTCCTCCGGCCATGTGCGGTGGTCCTGGGCGTGCTGCACACTGAACTGATGCAGCGAGACCTTTGGAAGTGCTGGCTCCAGCCCTCCAGGACCATCCACTGGGGCCATTTGGTGCTCAGGGGAAAGCCCCTCCATCCAAGCCCCGCCCCTCCCTGGCTCCGCCCAGAATCCAGAGGCTCTGCCCCCTCTTTGGTTAGGACCAGGGTCTGAGGTCCTGCCCCCTTAGGCCTTATCACTCTTCTTTGGCTTCATCCAGGACCTGAGGCTCCGCCCCTCCAAGGTCCTGCCCCATATCGTTTTGTTTTGTTTTTGCCAGTCGTGGATCTTGAATTCAAAGCCTGGGCGCTGTCCCTCAGCTCCTTGTGCTCAAGGCGAGGGCTCTACCACTTGAGCCACAGTGCCGCTTCTGGCTTTTTCTATTATGTGGAATCGAACCTAGGCTTCCTGCATTGCACTCCACCACTGAGCCACATTCCCATTCCCAACCCCGCCCCATACTTGGCTCTTTTCAGCCCCACCCTTTCTGGGCGCTCCCTCCCTGTCACATAATTTCTCCCCTCCCCCCATTCTTTGACCTCTGGCCTCCCTAGCTGCGGCCTTCTCGTAGCCCTACCATACTCCAAGGCCTGCCTCTTCCCCCCCCCCCCCCCCCCCCGTCAGGCATGGGTCTTAAACTCTGGGCCTAGGCGCCATCCCTCAGCTCTTCAGCCGAACGCGAGCGCTCTACCACTTGAGCCACAGAGCCACTTCCGGTTTTCTGTTGGTTCATTGGAGGTAAGAGTTTGGCCGATTTTCCTGCCCAGGCTGGCTTTGAACAGTGATCCTTAGATCTCAGCCTCCTGAGTAGCTAGGATGAAAGGCGTGAGCCACGGGCGCCTGGCGATCGGCCTCTTGAAAGAAGCTCCCACCTGGCTTCTGCGGAGCCGCAGGCCCAGGTTCCTGCACCCCACCTGTGAGCCTCACGCCCCGCCTTGGGCCCTACCGAGCCCTGCCTCCGGGCCCCCGCGCCCCCCTCCCCCGCACCTGCAGCTCATAGCGGATGTGGCGCTGGCGCAGCCGCACGTTCTCCTCTCCGCAGAGGCCGAAATCCCAGGCCGAGAACACGCGGTGGCTGTAGCTGGTCAGAGCCCCGGACTCGGCCAACATAGTCTGCCTCAGCCCAGACACGGAGCTGCGGGGAGGGAGGCGGGGGCGGGGTGGGTGGGCGGGGCCCCTGCGGACACCCGCACCGTGAAGGCACGGGGTCCGCAGAGATCCTGGACCCCCCAGGGCCAGCACCCAGTAGGAGGTAGGCCGGGAACGCAGACCCAGGACGTAGGGACAGAGGGGGGAGAGGCAGGGCTCCGAAGCGGGGAGGGGGCTGCGGTGACCCCGTGCCCAGAGTGGGGGGGCACTGACCGGCGCAGGATGAGCAGCAGGCAGACGAAGCCGGAGGCGAAGACGGAGCACAGGTAGGTGAGTGCCAGCGTGGGCCGAGGCGGGTAGAACCCATAGAAGAGAGGGGACCATTCCAGGTAGCCCTGCGGAGGCGAAGGCAGCCAGTCACCGTGGGGCCGGGCGGGGGCCGGGCCACCGGCGCGGTGTGCAGGCCGGTGCCCCGACCAGCGGAGGCCCGCGGTGCCCCTACCTCACCTCTCCAGAGAGCAGGTTGAAGATCTGTGTGGGAAAGGTAACCAGGCCCTGGGCATGGGGGTTGTACGAGCCGCAGGACGAGGCCGGGGGCCCCGGGGGTCCCGGGGGCGCCCCATCCAGCCAGGCCGGCAGCAGCTTCATGCAGACCTCGAACACCGACGCCACCGCATTGAGCAGCAGCAAGAAGCGCAGAAGCGAGAAGTAGCACTCAGTGCCGCCGCCAAACTGGCCTGCAGGGGGCAGCAGAGAGGACTCGGCGTCCTTCCCCAGACACAAGCCTCCTCCCTCAGACCCGGGGCCCGGATTCCTCCCCCCCCCCCCCCCGGCTTCCTCCCTCAGATCTAGGGGTCTGGACCTCTGGGCTTCTCTCTCAGACTTAGGGGTCAGAACCCCCCAGCCTTCTCCCTCAGACCTGGGGGTCCAGGCCCCAGCCTCCTCCAGACCCCACTATACCCCCAATCTTCTTCAGTGTCCATGCCCAGGGCTGCAGGGTTCGCACTCCTTCCTTCATCTTTTCCTTTGACCGGGAAAGCAGCCTGGCCCAGTGGGCAGCCCAAGACCCAGAGGTGTATGCCGCTGGGTCTTTGGACTGGCTCTTCCTGGAACATAAATAAAGTCAGAAAGGGAGCCAGCCAAAGGTAGAAACAAGCAGCTACAAGTAAAGAAAGAAACTGTGGTACACTACAGTACTCATAAACACAATACTCGGCAGCACAAAGGTAGAATACTATGTAGCAGCAAAAAAGAAACCAACCAAATTCATGCTTGAGAGGCAAAGCAGGAAAGAAAAAAAGACTCTAGAGTTGGAGGCAGCAGGATCCTAAGTTCAAGGCCAGTATGAACTAGAAACCTCGTTTTAAAAAAAAAATCTGGGCACTGTTGGCTCACACCTATAATCCTAAACTGTTCAGGAGGTGGGATCAGGATCATAGTTCAAAGCCAGCCAGGGCAGTAAACTCCCAGAATTAACCACCAGAAAGCCAGAAGTAGCATTATGACTCAAAGTGGTAGAGCACTAACCTTGAGCAAAATTGCCCAGGACAGTACCCAGGCTCTGATTTCAAACCCTACCCCTAACAAAAAAATTAAAAAGAAAAAAAGAATAAAGCCAATCATGTTGGTTCATAACCACAATTCCCGGACAAAGACACTCTCGAAAAAAGAGGGCTGGGAAGGTGGCTCAGTGGTAGAGTATTTGCCTAGCAGGCATGAAGCCCTGGGTTCAATTCCTTAGTACCACATACATAGAAAAGGCTGGAAGTGGCACTATGGCTCAAGTGGTGGAGTGCTAGCCTTGAGCAAAAAAAGAAACTCAAGGGATAGTGCCCAGTCCCTGAGTTCAAGCTTGGCACTGGTGGCTCATGCTTGTAATCTTGTAATCTTAGTTACTAAGCAGGCTGAGACATAGAAGATTGTGGTTCAAAGCCAGCTCAGGTAGGAAAGTTTATGAGACTCTGATGTCCAGTGAACCACCAACAAGCCAGCAGTAGAGGTGTGGCTCAAGTGGTAGACAGTTGGCTTCAAGTGAAGAAGCACAAGCAAGAGCTCCCAGGCCCTGAGTTCAAGTCCCACTACGAACACAAAACCCCAGAGAGGTTGTCTCCCAGCTCTCTGGCGGGGTGGGGTGGGATGGGGAGGAGAGGGGCAGGCACTTGCCTGTGAGCCCTTCTTGCCTCCATGGGCCATGGCAGTTCCCGGGAGGGGTGCGGATCCTGAGGCTGCATTGGGGTGACTTCTGGGAAGGATTGGGGGCTCTTCCCTCCATCCTGCTCCTCGTCTTCCACTGCTCCCCAAGGCAGCACACCCGGACCGCGGTAGCGGAGGGTGGCAGCACTGGGGAGCTCATTCAACACAGAGGACAGGGACCGGCCTGGCGGGAGAGTAGAGGGCTGGGGAGGCTCGGATGTCCAGGCCCTAAACCTCCTCCCTCAGACGCAGAGTCCAGGCCCCAGCGTCCTCCCTCAGACTTGGGGAGTCCAGGCCTCAGCCTCCTCCCTCAGACGCAGAGTCCAGGCCCCAGCGTCCTCCCTCAGACCCAAAGGTTCCAGACCCCAGCTTCCTCCCTTAGACATGAGAGGCCAGGCCCCAGCCTCTTCCCTCAGACCCAAGGGTCCAGACCCAGCCTCATTCCTCAGACCCAGGGGTCCAGACTGCTAAACTTCCCCCTCCACAAGAGCAGAAGAGTATCTCCATTCCATTTGAATTAAGTCTGAGGAGCCCAGTGTCCACTTCCTTCTCCCTATTCAGGAGCCTGGGATCTCAGTCCCAACCCTGGCTGGGCCCCTCCTTCCGCACAGAGCTGGTCTCTTATCTCCTCCCTAACCCTGAGCCCGGCTCCAAGGCCCTTCCAATAACGGGGAGAGCCTTTCCCTTCGGCCCTTAGGGCCCCCTCCGCTTGGCCCCCTTCACCAACTCCCAGGTTCTGAGGGGGACAGGACCAGGACTCCTCTGGTGCTTACCTCCTCTGGCCCCCTGGGGGGCTCTCCACCCCCCAGGGGGGCCCCAGGCTCCAGAATACTGGGCCAGGTTCTCCTCCATGGCACAGCTGTTTCCTTGTAACTCTAGTGGCTCCCAGGGTGGAGCCCAGAAAGGGTGGGGCGGTACCTGGCCACCAGGTGGCCACTGGGGAGCATAGCGCACTTCCTAGAGCCCAAGGCCTCCTGGGAGGCGAAGTCCACCGTCAGGTGGCCCGTCACACCGGTCCCGCCTGTGCTTGCTGGTGCCCCACATCCCCGCTGGTTTACAGTCTCACACCCACAGGCCTGTGCAACACTTTATTGGGAAAAGATTTACAGTTCCGAACTGTGTCAGGCCCAGGACCACAGGAATGGGGGGGGCTGGAGGTGACCCTGCAGGAGCACCCCGTCCCCCATGCCTCCTGTCCCCAGCCCAGTTTCCCCTTGCTGGATCAAGACACAAGAGGTTCTCTCCGTCCCAGAACCTGGCCTTGATGCTCCAGTCACCATTGGTATGTGTGTGTGCAACAAGGATTTAAGACATCTCCACAGTCCCCTCTTCAGCACTGGGGGGGGAGGGGGGAAAACAACACACGTGTAACCCTCTATTTACCCCCAGGTGGAGCAGCTGGGAGGCCAAGGTGGGCAATACCCACCCCGCTGCTGGGCGCAGGGCCTCCCTGGTAAGGGGCACCCCAGCTGTGCCTCACGCAGGGTAGTTAGCTGAAGGAGATGGGGGGGCGCTCTTTGCCCCCCCACCCCAGGGAAGCCCCTTGCTGAGAAGAGACAGTGGCCTGGTTCGTGGACATCCTGCAGCTCACTCTTCCCGAAGCTTCTCCTGGGCTGGCGGGGAGGCCTGGGCCGGCGTGGCCACCTTCCTCCGGCGGGGACCACCCCCGCCCAGCGCCAGGCCCAGCCCCAGCCCAGCCAGGGCTAGGACGTGGATGCAGAAGTAGACAGAGGCCCAGTACCGGAGCGTGTCGGCCATGGACAGCAGCACAAAGCCCATGCACATGTAGTCGTAGGCTCGCATCTTCAGGAGCCAGTGCACCCAGTCCCAAGCCTGCTGGCCACTGGGGCCCAGCCGCGGGCGCACAGCCGACTCCAGAGAGCCCTCGGCTGCCAGGCACAGCGGGATGGTCAGGAAGCTCAGGTAGTAGCCGGGGTGCAGGCCATGCCAGTAGGCGCTCAGCAGCATGGTCCAGGCACTCCTGGGGGAGGGGGTGCGGTCAGAACCTGGAAATCTAACATCCAGGTCCCAGCCTTCTCCCTTACACCCAGACATCTTCCTCCCTGGCTCTGAGGGTGGAGGAAGCTGTGGGCTCTGTCTCATGCTCAGGGCTCCTCCTCCCTCAGGACTAGAAGTCTTAACTCCCCCACCCCCTTTTTATTGGTGCCAGTCCTGGGACTTGAACTCAGGGCCTGGAGGCTGTCCCTGAGCAACTTTGTGCTCAAGGCTAGCACTCTACTACTTGAGCCGCAGTGCTACTTCCCGCTTTTTCTGTGGTGCTGAGGAATCGAACCCAGGGCTTCATACATGCTAGGTAAGCACTCCACCAATGAGCCATCTTCCCAGCCCCTAGAAATCCTAACTCTTTAGCCCCCAGACTGTCAAAGCAGATCCCAGGGTCTGGAGTATCATCTTAGAACTTGTCAGAAACACAAATTCTTTTTTTTTGGTCGGTGGTGGGCCTTGAACTCTGGGCCTGGGCGTTGTCCCTCAGCTCTTCAGCTCAAGGCTAGCACTCTACCGCTTGAGCTACAGCGCCACTTCCGGTTTTCTGGTGGTTTATTGGAGATAAGAGTTTCACGGACTCTCCTGCCCAGGCTGGCTTTGAACCCCAATCCTCAGATCTCAGCCTCCTGAGTAGCTAGGATTACAGGCGTGAGCCACCAGCGCCCGGCTAGAAACACAAATTCTTAGCCAAGAGGCTGAGTTCTGAGGTTCAAAGCCAGTTTGGTAGACAAACCTGAAATTCTTTTTTTTTTTTTTTGGTCCAGTTGTGGGGCCTGAACTCTGGGCCTGGGCGCTGTCCCTCAGCTCTTCAGCTCAAGGCTAGCACTCTACCACTTGAGCCACAGCGCCACTTCCGGCTTTTTTTTTTCTTTTTGCTTATGTGGTGCTGAGGAATCGAACCCAGGGCCTCATGCATTGCAATGCAAGCGCTCTACCGCTGAGCCACCTTCCCAGCCCAAACCTGAAATTCTTTATCTCCAAGTAACAAGCAAAAACCTGGAAATGAAGATGTAGCTCAGGTGGCAGAGTACCAGCTTTGAGTAAGAGATGCTATGCAAGAGTGCACAAGGCCCCGAGTTCAAGCTCCCTTAATTGCGTGTGTGTGTACACACACACTGCAAAGCCCCAAGTAAACCCCAGTGCCGCCTAAAATTTAAAACCTCAACCCGCTGAGCCAGCACTTTCTCAGCCACACATTACTAAGTCCAGTACCTCATTTATGTCATTTCATCTGCCAATCAAGTAAGTTATCTCCATTGAACAGCTGTGGAAACCAAGAGGTCAGCCAGCCCCTCAGGGTTCCTCAGTGAGCCACATGTGGGCAGCACACTGTTTCTATGGAAGGCTGACCTTAGGCCTAGGGGTTTATCCCAGCACAAGCCAAGGAAACTACAACTTCCATGAGCTTCAGGGGCAGGGGCTCAGCTGCAACCATAGGCATGCCACCAAGGCAGCTGGGTAATGTAGTCCTGTGCTGTCGGGGGCGGGGGGGGTGTCCCCTCACCTCAGGACGTAAGAGCGAGCAGGTGCGCTCTTGTAGATGTACTGAGCCAGCCACCATTGCACCGTCATGTTCCAGTACCGCATGCCATCCCGCACCCGCACGCAGAAGTCGGTGTTATAGCAGTCGATGTTGCGGATGGTCTCATAGTCATACTCCAGGGAAGTGGCCTCCTCCGGACTGAGGGGTGGGGGTGGGGTAGACATGCAGCTCAGCCAGGCCCCACCGCCAGCCCCGCTCCTGTCCCAGCCCCAGTGCTAAGGAGGGGGTTCTGCCCAAGGAACAGCACTTGCTCCGGCTGCCACATTTGCTAAGGCCACAGTGGGGGAGGCTCCATGGGGGGTGGGGGGCGTGGGGCACAGCTCACTCAGGGCCTCTTCTTCCCTTGGTCACTGACTACTGGGGTCTACCACAGCCACAAAACACCTGGGAGGGGGGGCAAGGAGGGTTCAGCTGCTAAGCCCGGAAGTCCTCTAGTGAGCAGATTCGGTTATTCAGAGCGGCTTCCAACAGACACAGCAGCTGCTAAACAAGTGTCCTAAGGAGGTGGCTCATGGTTGCTATGGAGACATGTAGAGTGGTGACTCTCGGGGATCTGTTGCTAGGGAAAAGGCATTCCTTAGCAACAAGCCTGCATCCCCCTCCAACTCCCCCTCTCCCACCCTGGTGAGGGAAGATTCCAGAGCAAGTATTTTTCCTGGTCCCTGTGTATGCTCAAGAAGTGTCACCGCCAGGAACCTTGAGGTTTCCAGGTCACTGATGCAAACAGCTCAGCACTGGGAACCAGGCTTAGCTTGTGCAAATGCCCCGTGGCTTCTGTGACTGGATGGAACCATTCTTTTTTTTTTCTTTGTCCCTCATGGGCCTTGAACTCTGGGCCTGAGTGCTGTCCCTCAGCTCTTCAGCTCAAGGCTAGCTCTCTACCACTTGAGCTACAGAGCCACTTCCGGTTTTCTGGTGGTTTATTGGAGATAAGTTTCACGGACTTTCCTGCCCAGGCTGGCTTTGAACTGCGATCCTCAGATCTCAGCCTCCTGAGTAGCTAGGATTATAGGCGTGAGTCACTAGCGCCTGGCTTGGATCTTTAGGAGTGGATTTGGTAGAGTGAGAGGACTTTAGCAGCTGGAGGTACACCCACAATGACAAGGGCAGTGATGGTTAAGTTCACAGAATGGCAGTTTGTGACTGCTAAGGGGGTAGCAAACCCTTAGTAAGGAGTAGGGCTTGAACTCGGGGTCTGGGCACTGTCCCTGAGCTCTTTTGCTCAAAGCTAGTGCTCTATTACTTTGTGCCACAGCTCCACTTCCAGATTTTCTGAGTGGTTAGTTGGAGAAAAGTCTCATGACTTTTTTTTTTTGCCCGGGGCTGGCTTTGAACCATGATCCTCAGCTATCAGCCTTCTGAGTAGCTAAGATTATAGGCGTCCACCAGCTCCTGGCTAGGAGTGATTTTTTTTTTTTGTCCCTCAGCTCTTCAACTCAAGGCTAGTACTCTATCACTTGAACCACAGCACCACTTCTGGCTTTTTCTGCTTGTAGTGCTGAGGAATTGAACCCAGGGCCTCATACATGCAAGGCAAACACTCTACCTCTGAGCCACCTTTCCAGCCCCAGAGTGATTCTCCACTGGCACAGAAAGCTGGTGCCCCTCCCTATCCCAAGCCAGAAAGATCCAGAAAGAGGCTCATCCGATGCTAGGGATGGCATTTCCCTAGCAACACAGAAGCTAAATGTTCTCAAGACAGCTGGACACTCTCTAGCCCTGTGACTTATAAAAATGTCCAGGCTGGGGCTGAGGTTCAGATTCCTGGCCACAGGAAGATGGTCTGTGGTCTGGGAATGGACTCCCCTCGGCTGATGGCAAGCAGTAAGTGAATGCTCTTCCCTTCCAAACAGGGGCTGGCTCTCGGCCACTCAGGGGCCCCTGTGGGGGTGCAGGTCCTGTAGTCACAATGAGTAAGACTTCTTGCCAGGCACAGGTGGCTCACGCTTGTCATCCGAATTACCCAGGAAGCTGAGATCTGAGGAACACAGTTTGAAGCCAGCCTAGGCAGCAAAGTCCTTGAGACCCTTATCTCCAATGAACCAGGGGGAAAAAAAAAAGCCAGAAGTGGAGTTGTGGCTCAAGTGGTAGAGCTTTTGAAAGACCTAAGGCACAACCCTGAGTTCAAGCCCCAGCACTGGCACTAAATAGATAAATAAACAAACAAATAAATACCTTTTGGAAAGGAGTGACCCCACGGTCTATAGGGATCCTGTTTCCCTAGCCAAGGCGCTTAACACTACCACAGAATGGCACCTCCAGCCCCCAAGCACGGTGTGATTCTGGGGGTGACACTTTCATGGGAACACCAGGTGAATGTGTGGTTGCTATCCTACCACACTCCTCTCCCTAGCAACAGAGGATGACTCACCACACCGAGGGGGGGGGTGGGACAAGCTCCAGCAACAAAGGAGGGGCCACTTCCCCACAGCCTAGAGGAGAGGGGGGTAGGGAGGGAAGAGCAGGGGGAGGGGGGGGCAGGGGAACACACAGCCTGTGGCAGGGCGGTGGCCCTGCCCTGGTCACTCCCCGCTCTCCTCCCCACTCAGGGGCAGGCCCAGCCCTTGGTGATGGGGCCTGCCGGGTCTTGGGGGGCGTCCCTCCCGCCTGACCTGCTGGGGGGTGGGCATTGGAGGGTGGGGCCGCCCCCGGCCCGGGCTTTGGCGGCCACGGGATAGGCCCCGAAGCCAGCAGCAATGCAGCCACACTCGGCCGCGATCCACGCCACGTAGAAGCGCATGCGGAAGGCGAAGAAGACAGGGATCATGTAGAAGAGGCGGGCGGGCAGCGGGCGGGCGTAGAAGGCATCCTCACGCACGGCCTCCAGTGGGAAGAGGTGGGAGGAGAGCAGGAAGAGCAGGCCGAAGAGTGGAGCCGGCCAGGCGCGGCGCAGTAGGGGCCGCAGGCTGGGCACCGCCTCGGGGAAGGGCTGCTCCAGCCAGTCCAGGTACGTGCGGTAGCGGAAGAAGGGGCCTGGGGAGCCAAGGAGGGACAGGCAGTCAGATCTGTGTCAGGACCCGGGCAGGAGATGGGGGAGAGGGGCAGAAATTGCAGACACCCAAAGGATGGGGACAGGGAGCTAGAGTCAGAGGGGACAAGGGACTCAGGGAGAAAGAGCAGAAAATTAGAGCCGGGCACTGGTAGCCCACACCTGTAATCTCCGATACTCAGGAGGCTGGGGCAAAGTTTAAACACAGCCCAGGGCAGAAATGTCTGAGAGATTGTGTGTGTGGGGTGGGGGCGGGGGGAGATCAGTCATGGAACTTGAACTCTGGGCCTGGGTGCTGTCCCTCAGCTCTTCAGCTCAAGGAGAGTGCTCTACCACTTGAGCCACAGCGCCACTTCCAGTTTTCTTGTGGTTTATTATAGATAAGAGTCTCTCGGATTTTCCTGCCCGGGCTGACTTTGAATTGAGATCCTCAGATCTAGGATGGCAGGTATGAGCCACCAGCGCTGAGAGATTCTTACCTGCAATTAACTAGTAAAAAGCCAGAAGTACAGCTGTGGCTGTGGCTCAAGTGGTAGAGAACCTTGAGCAAACTGTTAAGGGAGGGTGCCCAGACCCTAGTGAGTTACCCCACACATACACACACAGAGGGACGCTGGGAATGAAGGGATTGGGACTCAGGGTGGAGACAGGTCAGACCTGGAGGTGGGGTGATTTCCCTGTGAACCAGTCATGGAAGAGAAAATAGATGGGAGATGGGAGCCAATTAGGGATGGATGGAGACCACTTAAAGATGTTTCTTTTGGGGAAGATGAAACTGTTCCACAGACAGAGAGATGATGTTTGTGTAATTCTGTAGCCATCCTAATAGCCAGTGACTTGTTTAAGCTAAGGAGATCATGAGTTCAAGGTCACCCTGGACTATGCAGCAAGGACCCTGCCTCAAAAAACAGGCTGAGTTGGGCACCAGTGGCTAACAACCGTAATCTTAGCTACTCAGGATGCTGAGAGCTGAATTGCGGTTCAAAGCCAGCCCGAGCAGGAAAACCCATGGGATTGTTATCTTCAATAAACTACTCAGAAAAAGCCATAAATGGTGCTGTGGCTCAAGTGATAGAGCGCTAGCCTTGAGCCACAGAAGCTTAGGGACAGCACCTAGGCCCTGAGTTCAACCCTACCATTGACACAAACCCATGTCTGCAGCAGTGTGGCTCTGGTTGTAGAGGAATCAAGCCTTCAGGTTGACAACATCACCCACTAGAGCAAATGGGCACAGGCAGGAGGTTCTGGGTGGGGTGGGGTGGGGAGGGGCAGGGCAGGACAGGACAGGAAGAAAGAACAGGCCAGGAATTCCAGTGAAGGGGGAGCAGGGTGCAGAGGTGGATGTGCGGGGCAGGCCCACTCACCTGTCATGATCCCCACGTAACAGTAGCTATAGCTGAGCGTCTCCATCAAGGAGGGGACTTCGGGCAGCAGCCCCACAGGGGGCTCCTTGCTGAAGCCGGAGGCCATTTCCTTCCTCTGGGCCAGGTGCAGGTCCTGGACTTCACTGGCCAGGCTCACCAGCTGGGGGAATGGGGACAGGTGCAGGGAGGGCCTGGTCAGCTCCAAGGCCCTCCAGGCGGGGCTGAGATCTCAAACCGGTGGAGAGTACCTGCAGCTGGTGCCTTCCTAGAGCTCAGCCTTAGGGCATGCATGCTGTCACGTGATTGCACATGTATCTTTACATACCATCCACATGCAATACCACCACACACACACACACACACACACATACACACATCCTTTCCTGGAGTGTAAGAACCTATCCAGAACTGTAACCCCTCTGCACAGCATCTTTACAATAAATTAAAGAAAAAAAAAAAAGAACCTGTCTAGCATTTCCTGTCGCCATTTATGCCTGGAGGTATGGGGGGGGGTGTCAAACTTAACACCCTCACAATGGAACATAACACCCCCCATTTGCTAAAATAGCAAATCTAGTTGCTTTCCTCAGAGAAAGAGGGTGCTACAGAGCCTCCCTCACCCCCAGACCCTACCCATCTAGTCTTTCCCCTCCTTTCTGCCTGCACCAGAGGCCTATGGCTGTCCTCTTGCCTCTCCATATCCACTCTGAAGCTGTTCAGAGGCAACAGGTGTGTGTGTGGCTTCCTGCCTCATTCAGTGGCCAGAGCCTAGTAGATGGAAGGCAGGTGAGCCAAGGACACTAGAAAGATGGCGCCACACAACACTTATTCTACAAAGCTCCAGAACCAACCCCACCCAGGATTGCTAATAGCTCTCAACTCCTGCACTGCCCCTTCCCCTCCTCTCTGTCCTGCCCTCCACCAGGGTGAATAAGCATCCCTGGAATTATTCCCAAAGCAGCATTTCCTGCAGGAACTCTGCCACCTTCCAGCAGAAAGAGTGCATCCAGCTGCCATCACTGGCCACCAGCCGGTTCATAAAGGAATCCTGTCTCATCCGGCCTTGCTTTGCTCCCTTTAATTTTCCTCTTGGCTTCCAGGGGGAATTATCATTATTTTTTCTTTTGTGCCAGTCCTGGGACATGAACTCAGGGCCTCGGCTCTTTCACTCAAGGCTAGTGTGCTACCGTTTGAGCCACAGCTCCACTTCTGGGTGTCTGGTGGTTTACTGGAGATAATAGCCTAATGGGGGCTGGGAAGGTGGCTCAGTGGTAGAGCGTTTGCCTTGCATGCCTGAGGCCCTGGGTTCTATTTGTCAGCACCACATAAGCTAAAAGAAAAAAGCCGGAAGTGGCACTGTGGCTCAAGTGGTAGAGCGCTAGCCTTGAGCTGAAGAGCTGAGGGACAGCG